TAGGATCAATTTGATGCATGAATAAGACAAAACAAAAATTGGGAAAACTAACATGTACAACATTTTAAAATATATATTAAAAAAACACATTTATATAAAATACAAAGTGACAGGTTAACTTTTTAAATTTTGCTAATTTAAGCGACTTCCATCATGCTGGTCAGTTACACAGTTCGGTCTATGTTCTGCAGCCAACCAGCTGCTGCCACCTATAAACCTGTGGTCCACCTTTACTCTGCTGATAACCATTAAGTTTTACAGCCTTCAAACTCAAAGTAATACCCTTCATAAAATACAGTAGGTCCGGCATTCGGAAGCTGTTTGAGCTGCCATCATTTTTAATGAACAAGTAACACTGTCACTGACCGATAGGAGCAGATTGGTGTGGGATGGAGCTGGAATGGACAAAGAATATTGCGGATGCTACATTTCGTCCACAGCAAAATTCTATTTGTGTGGAAAGATCTGGGCAGTGCTCGAGAAATGAAGTGAAAAAGACACCAGTGGAGTGGGGGTTTCTCACTCTCAAGCCAATCAGTAATCAGATGAGGGCTTTGTATTCCAAACTGATGAAATGCCAGTTGGACATTTTTGAAGTCCATTAAACACAATTAAGTTGTTGACAATGTTTAACCAGAGATGGCCAGTGCTGGTTTAAATAATTTGTCAGTGTACCTCATTCAACTGACAGAAAACATTTTAACAAGTGTTCAATGAACGCATCATATTGTTACTGCCAGGTAGTATTGTTTCTATTGCCAATTATATTCAGACTGTGTTTGGACACTGCAGAGCTCAGCATATGTCAGCAATATAAATAATTCCTGTAGTACCACTTTGTGTCTTACAACCTTGTGGTCTATGGTTGGCTGTAGTAGTACTGTTCAGTAATCAAAACTTCTCTATTCTCTCCCTTTCTTCTCTCACAGTTATCAATTAATTAACGCTGATAAAACAGACAATGTGAGAAAAATATGGCATCAAAAAGTTCAATAACAGTTATATACCATTGTTATTATTATATTTTTTTCTCTCATAAAAACTGAAGTTTTGTGATCCCAAAAGTGAATTTAGATTCAAATGAAAGAATTTACCAAACACATATTTGATTTAATTGCAATGTACCTGTACCTCCATGAGACGCTGCAATTTTTCCATTAATCTTTTTTTTATATAAAATGCAAAAATATAACTATGATTGCTAATATTTATCTACCCAATATTTTCAGTACAGTATCAGAAAAATGACCAAATCAAGTCATGACCAAGATTTACAAAATTTATATGGGGTAAAATGTCAGAAATCTGATAAATTCCAAGCCCTTAAGCTGGGTTCAAAAACCACTAAATGAACTTATCCAGTGAAAAGACAGTCCTGATGTTTACTGATACAATGCTAATGTGCTAAAGATTTCCAATGACTTCCCAGAATTATAGCCAGGGCCAGTGTTGTGTCACTCCTTAATGGCCTTCCGTACATTCACTCTGAGCAGCCATTTCTTTCAAAACTGCCCACACCTTTGAAAAAAAAAAAAAATGCAGCTAGGCTAACGCGTGCATGGCGACTTATAATTAGTGTACTCCATGACTCACTAGCACGGCTTGAAAGAATCCTTTAAAAGACTACGCCGCATGTTTTAATGATGGCTTCGGTCAGAGCTCCCATAATATCACCAAAAAAAAGAAGAAAAAAAAAAAAAAAAAACTCACTCGCTAATGGAGGATATCTGGTGAACTGAAGCATCCAGCTATATAAGAAAGTCTCAACTTTTAATGGGGTTTTCGCAAGCTTGCTTACAAAACAAAATTTTCCAAGAATGTCAGCGTTGTTTGGTGAGTTATGCTTAATGTTTGACACAAAATGGCAGTTACATGGTCTCATGGATGACATGATATTCTTCAAAAGTTGTTACACAATACGGTTACCATGGCATTTAGTTCTTCTTCCATCTCCAAAGCTTCACAGACAGATAATGGGCCAGGTCAAGCTCTCCTCCTGCTTTACTCTCCTCGATCCAAACGTGACTAAGAGCTGGGTCGTTTTAACCTCGAGATTCTCTCCCTCACGACATCTCTGCGTAGAAATGATGGTCCGCAGACACCAAGAAAACCTGCTACAGCATGCACTCTGCTCCAACAGATGGGGAAGATAGGTGTTATATGAGATACTCGCCTGGACAGAAGGTGACAAAATGTATGGAGATATAGATAGCAACAGCAAGAGGATTCTGCTACTTTTTGCTATATTTGTCAAGAGCTTTTCTATTGTCTTGGTTTCACACAGCTGCAAGACACACTTATCCAATAATATATGGGACATGGTGGCTCTGTGGTCTTGTAATCTTGCTTTACATGAAAGAAATTTGATTCTCAAGCCATGCGGGTTGCTGTGTGGAGTTTGTATTAGGGCTGAAAATAATGATTTGGCAATTTTCCTTTCAGTTAATTGATTAATTTAGATGGTGAAAGGCTCTGTCAATATTAGACATGCACAATAGACAAATTCTCCAAAAAGTTGCTCGAACAGCTTTGAAGGATGAGTCAAATGTAGGTAATGAGAAACTGCTTCTATTGTGCAATAATGACTAAGGTTAAAATATTTCCAATTCACCAGTGAATGCTTAGTCCAATAATTCAAAAACTGACCTGCAATCAAAACAACAACTATAAAGTAGTTCTCAAAGTGTTCTAACCAAGTACCATCTCACTATTGGGCTTTCCAATTTTTTCTGTCACACTGTAACATTTGAGGGTGATATATGGCAACAGAAAAACTCAGAATAAAATATTATTTCAAACTTACTGACAGTGACATAATAACCATAAAGCGGTAATGAATACCAAAATGAATCATACAATTAAAAACAACCACACAAAATGCATACACCAAGTACTACAAAAAATCATCATCAATCATTTCTTCATCAGTAAAGTGTGATAAAATATTCATACAAATATCCTGGATTCAGATATCAGCAAACTAATGAAAATCATCTGCAAAATTATGGTCTCCTTGGACGTGGTTATAATTAATAGAGCATAGGAACATAAAAGCTGACTTAAATTAACCATTAGTATGTCTTATTTTACAATTTTAGACAAATAAAATGTGAAAGTCTGATGCATAATGTCACATAGATACAAATATATATAGTATGTACTTATATCCAGTCACTCGCATGTTCCCAAAGCAGTGACACTATGGATAAGCTAATGGCAGACATCCAGCTGCTCCCACTCACACGTATGACATGGTGACAAATGTTCCTGATCTGAGAGTCGAGGGGTGTCCCTTTGAAAACTGTCACAAATGCAAGGACTCTGAGCGGACTTTAAGGTAACCCTCAGGACACACTGTCTACAAATATGCAATTTTAAGACCTTTACACCCCTCATTTTGTAGTGCAGGGAATTGCTTTGTTTTATTGAAAGAAGATGCAAAATATAAACAAGAAAAGTACAGTTATGTTGGCTATGATGTGATTGTTAGTGTCTCACTGCTAGCCCATTAGTAATTACAATATACAATGTGGCAAAGTGGAAAATATAGATATAATAAAAATATATATAACTTGCAATCCATGTGTGCTTTTTAGTATACCTCTATAACAACCAGCCAATGGAAGAATCTTAACAGTTCAACCCTTGCTTTAACAGGAAATTATACTTCAGATAAGCTTCTTGTTTGAAAATATGGATGCTATTAATGAGCTCTGGACACTGGGGTCCCCACAAAGACCCTTATAGCAACAGAAAGGCTTCAGCACTGATATTGCCTTTTAAGTGCAAAGTCACCAGCAGATCCTTTGGTATTTGGGTCTTGTAGTTTCTTGCATATTCGCCTTCCATCACCTCTTTCATTAAAGGGCTGTTATTTAAGCCATACAGCTGCACCATTGATCGAGGTGCACTGAGTATTCTGTATTTAGAGATAAAGTGATCCCTTGGCCTATACGTTATTGAACTGTTGATGGGCATTTTTTTGAGAGACTGGTTTTCTAATTAAAAGAGAATTGACTTTAAATCCTTCTCTTTTATGCTTTGGTCAATATTGTCACAATATACTTTACTTTGAAACAAATCAATTGACCACATGCCTGTATCCTGCTCTTGTTTCCTCCATGTCTGTCACTGCCCACATAGCCACATAAAGCAGTGTACCACAAATCCAGATCACAGTGCACCAACAACACCAAGCAATGGGCAGATTCAGCAAAAGTCTACAAAAGCATGTTATTACTTTTCCTGATGGATTTCTAAATGTCACTCTTGCGTGGCTATGGGCGCTGTATCCATGGCATAGAAATTCATTTATTTCCTAAAAATGAAAACATACCATTTTTCATCACTGACCTGTCAGAACAGAGGTCCTGTTGTCTACCATTAACTGAGAGCTGCCCAACCAGTGCTGAATATTAATGGCGTCGTCTCCCCTGGATCATTTAATTCACTATCTGCATCTTTATGTGTGTGTGTGTGTGTGTGTGTGTGTGTGTGTGTGTGTGTGTGTCTGTGTGTGTCTCTGTGTGTGTAGCCAACGCAATGCTGTGTCCATCAGAGAGGACATCTTCTGGAGTTGGGGCCTGCACTGGAGATTATCAGTGCAGCATAATTGAGAAGTCAGGCAATCACCAAACATGAATACAGTAATCAATATCTGCTCTCAAAGACTTTAGGGGAGACATTGTTAGAAGCAGCCAAGCCATATAATGTGCAGGTTCCAATTAAAACACACGAATCCAGGGCTCATTAGCAGCACCTTATTGAACGCCCCATGTTAAGTGACAGCTCATCAACAGGCAAGGCCAATCGAAGGCTCCTCTTTATCAGAAAGGAGGAGGGAAAAAAGCTGTGCTATGGCAACCGAGCTGCGCGAGGATTTACATTAAAACCTCATTCTCCCAATAGTGACAGTGCGTCAAAGATGTGCGCAATGTGTCTGATTGCGCAACACACACACCAAAAACGACCAAGGTGGAGGTGGTTAACAGCAGGCTTACCTTTATAAAAGACACCGGGATTATGGGGATGACGATGATGGTGGTGCTGATGCCCGGTCCATCCGATTCTTATCCTCTCTGTGGTCACCGGTTTTGGCTCGTAACTAGGCCATTTCTTCCAGCGATTATTTCTCAGGAGACGTCGCTGGTGTATCGGTAGTAGCCGTACACCTTCCCTCGTCTTTATCCGGCTTTTCCCCCCAAAAAAGCACACCTCAAACGGCCCCCCCGCCGCCCCTGCCTCCTCTTGTCATCCCTCTCTCTGACAACACCCTGCTCTGTGCTGATATTTCACTCACTTGTTTTAACGTTGACCTCAAACCGAGGAAGAGAAGAAAAAAAATCAGTGGGAATAAAACGCTATAGCGTCAAGACTAACGCAAGCACGCGTCCCCCTTCCCTCATTTGTTCATGACGGGAATAATAATCCACGGTATCGCTCTTAAAACGGAGCGGTTTTGGGGGTTTAAAAAGGCGAACAGCTTACTCAAGATGCAAAAATCTGATGTCCAGTCCGATTTTGAATGTAGCTCGTCTTCAAAGCGTCTCTCCCTCACTTGGAGAGAATTAGAGCTCCAGATGATATATGTTCCGTTACAGCCGCATGTTTTTGAAAAAAAAAAAAAAAAAAAAACGGCTTTTAATGTTCAGAATCAGTGATATGATTGCAGTCTGGAGGAGCGACAAGCCCCTTCCTCCTCCGTCTCTCTCAGTGCGTCTCTCTCATCCACTCACGCGGCGATATAAGGCAACGAGAGACCAATATTTCAGTGCGCAGCCGGTTGTCATGACAAGGAGAGGCGACGCGTAACTCAATAAGAAGAGGTCGCCATGTGATGGAGAAAAAAAAAACTGCAGTGGGATTTCGTTGGGATTGTGCTCAAACGTGGAACTGCAACGCACTGACGTCAGAGCTGTAGTTTTCCCGGTTATTACCGTTTTATTGGTGTTTGTTTGAGCAAGTCAAGACGGACACAGGGGATACTACACGACCATCAAAGGACGGACATTTAAAGCAACATCATGTAACTTTCGGAGACAATCTGGATCACAGGGAAAACTGGATTGCTGCACTGTATGCATTATACCATGTCGTGTATTGTGGTTGTGTGTTGAAATAAAGTTATGTTCAGTGGACCTGGTTTATTTATTTATTTTATTGGAATGCCCCTTGAGATGGTTTTGGATATAGTTTTGAAGTGCTTCTGTATAAGAAGATATTTTTCAGTTTGTGTTTATTAATACAAAAATATGCAGCATAAATATGAGCCAATTCAATTTTTTATTGATAGACAATAGGATGTAGTGTATATCTGCTTAAGAATAAGACTCTCAAGAATATCCTCAAATCACTAGGCAAACCTGGCTAAGGACAAAAAAAGAAAAGTTATCATCAAATGATCGAACTGGAACTTGTAAGAACAACTAACCATTAGAAATTGCCATTTTAATATTGCCCAAAGCATTATACTCTTGCCAATTTTCATGAAGTCCAGTACATTACATCCAAGGACATAATGCTCACTTGAACAAAGAATATCATAAAATGAGAAAATTGCATGGATATAATATAATATCAAAATATTGTTCACATTTTAAGTGGATACTCTCTCTCTCTTCCTTGCATTCAATATCCCTAACAGTGGTTGCAACATAAATATACTCACAACACAAACTATCACTTTCTGCAACTTGAGGTCAGGGAAGAGCAGAAATGTAGGCTTTAGTTGCTATGTTTAAATACTCAGAGGAGATTCCCTCCTTTGGGGAATTCACAAGGGTCAGACGAAGCTCAGAACAAGGGCAGCGGCTCACCACCTACTGATAAATGCAAGACTGGAATAAAGAGGCTCATTCACAACACACAACAGCTAGACACTGTTGATACAATATACTAGCAAAATGGTTACAATTACAATACGCAATTCACATAAAGAACACACAGCTCTCAACACTGCAACAAAAACTAATGAGGGTCATTATGAGACCTTAGTATTCTTGCCTTCACAATAAATGTTCTTGTTCACTATGTCCCCAACCAATGCACAGGGCAAAGAAAAGCAATAGCTGTACTGCCTGGCAATAAATACAAATAAATTCATGTCACTCCTTCTCAATTGCTAGGAAAAGATCAAATATCTAACTTAAGTAGAAAAATATAACATTAAAGATTGTAACCTTTAACTTCACCACATATGAACATATACTTTGTTTTACTATAGGCTTTTATATTTTGTTGAGACCAAGCCTTCACTTTACAAAATGGGTCTGGAACATCTCCACTTCAAGAGGTTGTGTGCCAAAACTCCTGTTAAGTGAAATTATAAAGGGCTATGTGATGTTGGAGCCCCTGATTGGATGTCTCTTCTGAATTACATTGATTTATTCAGTAAACATTTATGCTGCTTCCTATTTTCTGATGTAATTGCATGTATAATTTATTTAACTTGTGTTTATTAGCCACAACCATATAGAAATCAATGTGGAATTGCTCATATTACGTTCGACTCAAGTGCGTCAAGGTGGTTGTGGCCTTGATCAATCTCTTTATGTTTCCTGAGTTGTGTCCTGCTACAACACATGCATTTGTTAGATAAACTCCACTTTACTTGATAGAAAAACATATTTTGCAACAATAATGGCTATTAAAGATCCTAAATTGACTCTTGTGAGCTTTAAGCCATGTTATAATGTTGTTACCTCCTCAAAAACGTACCTGGAGTTGTGTCTAAGTAACCTTTAATTATTGACCTGTCTGCATTTGCAAAGCTCAAAATGCTCTGTTCCACCTTGAGATGTCATGAAGCAATAGTTTTCAAGTCAACAGCTACATTTTAGTTTTGTCTAGTAGAGACAGGCAATTCTAGGGCTGAAATTATCCAAATGTTTCTAGTGAAGGTGTATGGAGTTTAAAAACACAATGGAGCACTTTCTGTATTACCGCATGACATGGTGGAAGAGTCATGGAAGTTTTTTTCTGTTTGAAAGAAGTTGGCCTAAAAATACAGGGTTTGTGTGTTAAACATGTGATTGAAACAAAACACAACTCCAGGTATGTTTTTGATGAGGAAAGAACATTAAAACACTGATTAAAAAATATCATAATATGGGCCCTTTAACCCTTTATGTCAGATTATTATTATTATTTTAATGCTTTTGTAACACTCGAACAAGTCAAACCAAACCCACATTAAAAGTACACTATGTAAACTTTGTGGTGGTCTGGCACCTTTTAGTCACACAGAGAGGTTGTTGCTTTGCCTGGAATGTTTCAAAGTATGGCATTAATGTATCTCCATGGAGACACACAAACATTAGCAGGCCATGTGACAGTCAGAACCACACAGAGGTGACCACACTTTTTTGCATTTAAACACATGTAACTGAACAAATGCCACATGACAGCCTATTTTTAAAGACCACATAGCTCACTAATATTACTCATATGAGAATCAGTCATTAGAGACTTTAGGAGATTAAAATCAGTCTTGTAATCATTAGCGAGGGAAAAAGGCTGTTAGCAGACTGCACAGAGGAAACATGTTTGGTTTAATTCATTTATGTTTCATTTAACTGATAAAACCACAATGAGCTCAAATAAATACAACATTAACACTACTGATAAAAAGCACTGTTATTAAGCTACATCAAAGTTATTTATGTGCTATAGAACAATATCAGCATTAATTATGTGAGATGTTATCTTTCAGTGCAGTCTTTTACATTTTACATAGTAAATGCATTATCACCAATGGCTGGGAATCACAGGGCCCCCTCACGATTCAATACAATACACCATACATACAATACATACAATAATCAATGTATTGCATATGATACTCTGTGATATATTGCTGTTTTTTAAGAACCAATTACATTTTCGCAACAATATTTCTTTGTTAGACCACTGTGAAAAGTTCATGACATACATCCCTTTTAATCATAAAAACGTAAGTATGTCAAGTGTATTGCATAAACACACACACAAACACACACAAAATTCTAAAAGATTCCAAAAAATATCCTTGGCGATATATGGTCACAGCAGCCCATGATAACTATATTGTCTCACCACATTTACTATCATGATGTGTCAATATTTTGATATTTTTTCACACCCCTACTCACCAGGCATGGATTTTAAATATTAACGAGCAAGAAAAATTATATAGTTCAGAAGTAACAGATAGACACCATTCCAAGATAAGCAATATTGCTCCCTGAGGAATCAATCAGTACTGCAGCCATTTATATTATTACTTTTTGTTTCAGTGTGTTTAAAATGAAACTGCAATGGCTTGGGATGACATCCTTTTGTATTGCATTGTATACATTCACCATCTGTGTACATCCATTGTTAAACGTATAGAAAAATGAAGCATGCTATAACAAGTCTGAACTATAGTGACAGATGTAGCTAGGCAGAAAAGCTTCTTATGAACAGTACAGTTCTGTTTAGAAACATATACAGCTTCTTTCAAAAGCATACACAGTCCTTACAAAGAACTTACAAACACTGAGTTGACATCAGTTCCTAATAGTAATAGTAATAGTGTCCCATCTCACTACACTAGGCATTATGTTAACTAAAAAGACCGTATTGTGGAGAGATAAGGTCATAGGGTGCCTCAAGCTGTGACCTCAGAGACAGGTCAGAGGTTAATAAGTCACCAGCTGCAAGAGTCTCATCTGCTTACAGCACAGTATTGACTTTACCAACAAGGCCAAGCATGTCCTATCGCGTGATGCATTAAATCCAGAATCATGATAAGCCTCACCTAAATCAAGGTTACCCATGGTGCACCTGGCTATGCCCTTGAGATGCTAGAAGTTGGGATGCAGAGTGGTGTTGTATGTGGAGAGGGAGAGGGAAGAGAGAGGAGGTGAGGTGGAAGGATTGGCCCAATGCCTCCAACTGCACTCACTCAGGCATGATGTGAGCAAGTTTGCCATACCCTAATGCTGTACGACCATTTAAAGTGCATCAGATAATTTTAGACACAAGGTCAGTCTTTGGATCGTGCACATTTCTAATAATGACATGTCAGATTAAATCACATTTATAGTGGATAACACACCAGATACGTCGACTGTACGGCTATCTCTCCACAAAATATCAGGAAATTTAATTATGGAAACCTACTCCATCCTTTAAACTCACGT